TTAATATGATTTCCTCCAGTTCTGTGCAGATAGATCGATGTTTAAAAAAAAGCACGAATGAAAGTTTTGTATGATAGCCTTAATCTGTTAGAATATATTGAAATGTTTTACAGGAAAAAAGAAAAAGTTTAAGATTTCCAACTCTCTTCTGTGTGAAATCTAACAAAAAAATTTGTCTAAATTACTTTAAAATTACAAATTAAACAACTCAGGACCTGTCAGAAGTCAAGCGATGTACTTTTTGAGATCCTCAATTTATTTTTTTTTTTAAACCTTTATTAAATATAATACACAAAATAAACAATGGAATGACTAATTTGTAACAAATTTTACCGAGGCCCTCGTAAATTTGAGCGTGGGCCCTAACATAGAGCTCCTAAAGAAGTAGGATTCTACCAGGCTCCTCCAGTAGGCATCAAAGTCTTTCAGTCCACAATAGAAAACATTTAATTTTTTAGTTTTTTTTATCATTCTTTTTAGAATCATATAAATTGAGATCTGTTGTATGATCTATTTTGAAAAGAAGGAAAAAAACATGTTTTGATGATCTGACAGTGCTGTAACTTTTTCAAAAATGGCGGTTCTCGCACGCTGTAGAGTGGCTTCTTCATCTGGACGTAAAATAAATTAATATATATGATTAATTACTTTACACTTTTAAGTAGATTATATTTGTATCACTCTAGGGAATGTGATTATATAATTAATTTGATAAACTTTTGTGTTTTAGATCTTATAATTATGTCATAAATGCGTGTCATTGTAGAAGGCATAGGCTCTCTACTTTTAATGTTTTCCTGGCTTTCAGTTTATTTTATTCTTTAATAAATGGGCGTGCTCCTCTATTGCGATAAACGATGTTGTAAACGGTAACACCGGAGATATATTGCTTTACTGTGATAGGGAATTCTAATCAACACACGGGGAGTGCTGCGACCAAATGATCTCGTACTACCACTTTGCTGCGAAACAATAAAAATGAACAGTACGTGCTCCGCATTATATTGTCAACTCCGTTTATACCTTGCTAAACAATTAATCCACGGAGAGAATAGTACAGATGTGGAAGAGACTTCCTCAGAAGATAACTTGCACCAGTACATAGCAACTTGCAGAAAGGTTGTTCCTATGCTCTCCATTTCTAAATGTATAAGCAATTCCAACACTGCTACTTTTTGTCAATGCCAATGCTGCTTTCCAGAATGCAAAGGATTAACTACTACTTAACTACTTGTGGAGTGTATCTATACAGTAAATTGCATTAGTGAAATACGAACAGCACTTTTATAGATGAAAATTTTTGAGTTTGAAGTGTTTTTACCATGTCACCATTCATATATTTGAGCCTATGTGAGAACATGCCAAAGGGTACATTGTTGATGGGAGTGAAAAGTGTGAACTGAAACTATTAACTGGATATTTTAAATAACTATCTAAGATGAATTGAATATAAATTGCATGCAGAGAATTCCACCGGTACTGAGAGGGCTATGATACGGTTTGAGACAATGATCTTTTATATTTTAAATTCAAATTTTATGCCTAAAATGCCATTAAAATTTCTCATGAAGGCTATCTGTTATCAAATAAAATATTTCATACTAAATTTTTTAATTTATAAATAAAATTATAAAATATATATAGGCTTAGGTCTATACTAAATATAATGGTAATTCTGTAATTATTGCAATAATAAAACTGTGTTTTACTTTAATATATCAATAATTTGAAAATATATCAATTAACATTGTACTATATTATTAATTTCTTCACTGACCCTCAAACGATCCCTAGTAATTTATAACACCCAGATAAATCTATTGACCCCTGAGAGATCGCTAGCGACCATACTAGGAACCCCTACTCTAAATGATATATTGAAATTAAAAGAGAAAAAATGCCTGAAATGGACTTTTAGAATCATCACCTGCTTATCAAATTTTGATAAAAAAGTAACATATCTTATAGATAAGTGTAAATAATTGAGAGGAAATGGCACTGTTCAGTCATGATGACATTTTAATCTAACTGATACATCAGAAACAAATGGCTTACTTTCCTCCAAGAGTAGACGATTAAATAAAATACACAGACGAGTAAATGACTTTTAACATTCAAGATAATTGATTTTTGATAGTAAAATAGTAATAAAATACATGTAAAACATGTTTTATTTAGATAATAACTTAATACAATAGTGTCTATATAACAGTTTATTTATTATGAGCACTATACGAAATTATGTAATACTAATGTTTTATTCCCAAACAAATGCATTAATTGATAGAAATTTTCAAGAAAATCAGACCATTGGTTTGGGAGATATGGCCATTAGTTTCGTTAATATCTTCGGAACCAATCTGAAGACTAATAAAGGTAATGATAGCAATTATTAGGGATGAAAACAAATATTGCCTGGAAAGTCTAGCAACAACGTTACCAGCTTTTATTAACTATATCTCGAAGACTCCGAATACTTACATTAATTTATTTAATGTTTATTATTTAGCTTTTCTTATTTATTTTAATATATTAACAAATTAATAAAGAAAAACTAGTATTCGTGAATAGAATTCGCCCATCTCTACTCGAAATGCTCCCAAAAATCATATAACAAATTTGATATTATACTGTAATAGTTGAAACGACATAGACACAATAATAATATAATTTTCTCAAACGCTTCGAGCATTGTAACCAAAGCATTCCTCTAAGTACAGTACAAGTTATGTTTATGTGTTAGTGATGTACAGCGAAAACTCCATTAAACGGGATAATGATAGAGATAGGTGTGCCTGGATAATACAAAGCCAGGGATAATAAAATTCGCATTTATAGTACTGTATTTTCGTTTATTTGACAACACGAGTTTAACAGAAGGTTGTTTGAAGGTTCTCACCTTTATCCACTGCACAATTAATCACAGGTAATTTTTGCTGTAATAGCAACACTTTCCGCTTAGCAACCATCTTTTCTACATAAAAGCAGAACTGAAAATGAAACAAGAGAAAGCTCAAGTGCTCGTTTACTAAATTAAATAAGAAAATGTATAGGAAAATTGTTTGTAAATATTAATTTTAAGCTTTTAATTCACACGAGAAAATATCAATTATCAATCGCCATTTTGATTTTAACTTTAGAACAGATTATGTTTCAAAGTAAATAGGCTAATTAATTTTATTTTTTATTATGATATTTTAATCCCATAATAATATTAAATTAGCTGTTTGTTTATATATAAATATCTAGCCACTCTTTCCACTTGACTTCCTGTCTAACCAAACAGCTAACCATAAGGAAAAAGAGTGGAAATAGCCTTAAACAAGAGTAAAACACGCAACCTTAATGGAAAAATATGATATGCCGCCGGGTCTTATATGTAATCGCTTAAATTTTAAAACAAAATTTTAGCAAAATTAATTTTTTAAGTAAGTTTTGAAGTCTTTTAAAGTACATAGGTAAGTCAAGGTTATATTAATTAAAAATTAAAACGTTAATTTTTATTGTAATAAATAGAAATGCATGAAAAAAAGAAGATGTTTTTTTTCTATTTATCAGTACTTTTCTGTATTCAGCTCAATACAGAAAAGTTGTATAGAAATAATTAATTCTTTACACGTTTTTCCAGTTTTTATGTAATTATTAATTCGTGTTATTTTGTTTATAATATTTCTAAGAATAAGGGAATACTTTTTTAAAATAATTAGTATTATATCATTATTTAAATTTAAAAATATGGGGGATTGTAGAGGATGAAATTTTGAACTTCTAACCACAAGAACACGATTAACACTGGCAAAAGTCGACCTTTTCCCTGCCTACGATTATGTAAATTGATTAAAAATACATCTGGAACCGGATTCTTGTAAAGATTTTAAAATCCAAGGATGAAATTTATATTATTTATTACCATAATCTCGCTTATTTATTTGAGAAATAAAAAATGCGCTAAGCTTTTCTATTTTGTAATTTTACAATTGGAAAAATACTACTTACTGTACAATAAGAAATAATACGAATATATTATGAATTTCCTAAGAATTACATGAAGACACAAGTACAAAGTATTATACTTTGAAGACACAAGTACAAATATAAACAAATATTTTTGAATCATCATCGAAAATTACTATTTAAATTACACTTGATAATAGAGATATAGATTAAAGAGATTCTTCTAGATAAAAAATGAATGCAAATTCTGTAAATACTATTTTTTTTTTTTTTTAAATAATTCTGAATTTATATTTGAAAAGTTCTGTATCAGCCTGACAAATTGCTATACTGCTTAGCATGAAAACTTTACAGGAATGTATAACATAAAAAAATAGCACTCAGATGAAAGACAAAAGTATTTTAATAAATTTACTTTAAAAATACGTCAGAAACGTGTGAAATTACCTATTCATTACTATTATATTACATAATACATATTCCTCATGAGAACTAAGTGTTAAAGACTACAATAAAGCATTTTCTGTGTTTCCTAACCTAACCAGTAGTGTTTATGAATATACTTTATTATTAGTATATATTATTGTATATAAAATATTCAAAAGAATTAAATAGAGAAGCATGAAGGCCAATTTTTATAATTATATTTAATTGTCTTCATAGTTGTTTATCTATGATTATGAATTGCTTCCAGCAGTCACGTATTGGCTTCTTATGGCAGATGATATCATAGTTTTTCTATTGTATCCGAATTATTTAAATTTAAAAAATGTTTATCTGCTTTTTTAGCCTATTCTTCGATGCATAATTATCCTATTTTGATTTGTGCCACTATTATTTAAATTCCTTTAAATAATATCCAAAATAATAACCAAAAATAACCTCCAAAATTTATGTTCCCTTTGTTCAGAGGTTTGACTGTACAATAAAAAATAAAGAAGGAAAGTAAAATTTAAAAAAAGAAATCACAAAATAAACAATTTATGCGCAAATTACCTCTTTATTTGTATCATTAAAAATAACAAATTAATTTAAAATTAACAGATTCAATGGTTTTTTTTACAATTTTACAAAAATTGACCAATATCAAAAAATCATTTAAAACACACTGACATTGAAATATTTATTTTTTAGCCCGTTTCTGTTCCAAAATAGCCTTGAAAGCATTCATGGGTTCTTCATTAACTTCTTTGTAATAAGGGAGTTCATCTTTTACTTTTTCATACCAGGCTTTTACGTGTGGGAAATCGCTAATGTCGTAATCTGCCAGCTGAAAAGGCAAAATAAACATTTTAAAATGTTTTTTCCTATTTAGAAAATTCTTTAACTGTAAAATAAACTTACTATTGTAAAGCTGAGTGAAGCTAATAATGACAGATCTGCCAGAGTAATATGAGATCCAGCTGCATAAGGAGTCTTCTGAAGATATCCATCGTACAGAGTTAAAGCATCTCTGAATGCTTTTTCTTTATCGGGATTAAGTTTCTCCCCGCGGAAAAGGGGTCCAAACTATAAAAGTACGTACATAAATTATTATCTGAAAATTATTTATAATTTATATGCTTGTAACTTACCAAAGTCTCAGCCAAGGTTTTATATAAAAGACCAATATCGAAATAGAGCATTTTATCCACTAAAGCTCTTTTCTGAGGATCTTTGGGATATAAATCGCTCTCGGGAGCATATTTGTTGACAAAATAAGTCATAACGGCTCGGCTAATGAACATAATTTTAATATTAGACATTAATTATGCAAATGAAGACCTTTGCAAAATGATACTAACCTTTCCCATAAAATAAATCCATTGTCGTCAATGGTTGGCACGCAATGTTGAGGATTCATCTACAGAGAATATTATACATAAGCCTACTTTTCTTAATTTTAATGGCTTAAATAAAGCAAAACTTACAGCAAGATATTCAGGTTTTCTGGTCTCTCCTGCCATTAAGTTAATCTTCTTAACGTTCAGTTCCAAACCAATGTGCTTTGCTGTCATCATGGCAGCGCGGCATGGTCCACTAACTGGAGCGTAGTAGATATCGATGGTCATTGTTTGTATTGTTCGTGTTCTTGTTTCTAGAAGAACGGTGATGGGATTCTAACTGCTGTTGGAGCTTTTATAGAAGAATTTTTTATGTTACGCATTTACATTTGACCGAACTATCTAATCAAAGATTATCTCTTAGATACACGTCTAGACTTATCAGAGATATCGATATAAATGATTAACTCATAAACCGAAATATACTGTTTTATCTAAAATGACGTGGATAAACAATGACTTTTAAGTTTCGTTACAGATTAATACACTTCTTTTTTTAGTCTTCTCTATTTCAGTTTAAAATTGTAATATAAATTCACAATTATTTAAAATGTAATAAAAGGGGCCGAGGCAGGAAAGGCATCATTCTAACGCTATAGAGACCTGGGACTCCATCGGGAGGGAAGCAAGGAATTTTTCTCTAGTTCCTTCTCTCGATGGCTCTACCCCTTTCATTTGTTCAAAGAAAAAAAAAAAAGAAAAAGGGCTAAAGGGCCTGTCTACCCCGGACCTTCATACAATCTCTCGATAGCCCTGCTCGAGAACGAATCTGGGAGCAACTCTTCATAAATTTTTTACGTTTCGGATATGTCGGGCCGTTTCTTCACCTAACACATCTACATAGTATTATGCAAATAACGTAGAATCTTTATATATAATTATATAATTTTTAAAATTTGATTTATGGATATAGATATCTAACTATTCAAATATAAATTTTTTTACCAAAACAGTAAACTTTACGTGTTTTCTTTCTGTTCGTGAAATGTATCTCGTAAAATAAGTTAAGGATAGTCGTAAATTCTTTTGCTTACGATCGTTTTCAACACAGGCCTTTTTTTTTCTTGTGCTTTAGAGGCATATTCAATTCATTATTTATATATTCACTTTTAGATTTTGATCTATGAAACATTGGCGAATAATATGTTAATTATTATTTTAAATTATTATATTTTTTGTATTTATTATTTGCATAATGGTAAATTCATTAATGCATAAAACCAATGTACGATGTTGAAAAAAATAGGAATAAACTTTTTGGATATTGAGGAAACACCAAATTTGGAATAGCAGAAGTAAATTAAGGATGATATGACTAATAGAGCAATATGTTGTCACAGTGGATACAAAATGATGATGATGATGATAATAAACATTTAAAGTCTGTTGTCATCTTATAACAATATACAGGGTGTATCAGAATGACGTTTTAAAAATATGGGGGATTGTAGAGGATGAAATTTTGAACATTTTGATATAAGGAACCCATAGTCGGAAATGTGATATAAAGTTTCTTCAGCACTTTGCACTTTGCAGTCAGTATGCTGAATGAAACAGCTGAATAGTCTTTATGGCAAGTTTTATTGACAAAACAGTAGAGTACAATCAAACTGTACATGGAATCGGTGGCTGCACTACTTTAGAGTAAATGTTCAATGTGGCGATCACCAACTTCGTTAGATAATGTGCAACAACGAACCATGTTTTGTCCGACTCTCTGTAAGATGCCACGCTCCCTTCTGATGATATTAAATGCTGTAAAGATGTGCTCCGTAAGCTCATGAACTGTTCCTACAGGTGTTGCGTACACAAGGGACTTTACATAAGCTCAGAGGAGAAGTCAAGAACAATAACATGACGTCAATGGACGGAAGGGTAGCTACCAAAGTGAAGGGCGGTCAAGCACTTCCTATCGCTGTAGAAACTTTATACCACATTTCCGGCTATGGGTTCCTTATATCAAAACGTTCAAATTTCATCCTCTACAATCCCACAAATTTTTGAAACGTCATTCTGATATACTCTGTATATAAAATACTTCGAAAATGATTGGATTAATGGAGAAGACAATTCAACACTTATGAGATCTACTAAGCGGAGTTTCTTCCAGGAAAATTTTCTATGGGAAATTGGCCCTATTTAGACAGGTGAAGAGAACCCGGAAAACTCCAATGATCAGCCTGTTAGTGAAGCGCGAATCCGCGAACAAGTAAAGTACTGTAGCAGTGTTCAGTGGTTTTATCCATTCGGCCACTGGGAGCTAATTTGAAAATGAACTGACTGATTCATGTTGTCCTGAAAATTTCATATAGTGGTCTTATCGTTTAATCGATGCGAAAAATAGGTACATAGTTAATTTTCAACAGAAGGCAATAAGTTTTCTAAGAGAAAATATGATTCAAAAGAAATTTTAGAACAGATAAAACTACAGAACACGGATAAATTTTTAATAAATGACATTTTCAATATATATAGTACGTCTAATGTAGTATCTTCGTGAATTCTAGCACATTTATTCGAAATGATTACTTCAGATGATGGATGTTGATGATCTTTACCAAAACTCCTCTTCTTTATCATACCTCCAGTAGGCATATACGAGGGGGTTAAGATCAGGAGAGCAACGGATCCATTCTACAGTGCCATGCGCTCAATTCAGTTTATTACCGTTGCGGCATAATGGGCAGGAGGACCATGCTATTGGAACCACTCAGGCGTTAACTGGTCGTCCAATATAGTGAGATGTGTCTCTCATTTACAATAGCGGTTAGGGTGGTAGCCTACCGCTGTGGAGAACCCAGGATCGCTTTTGAAGGAGTCAAAAAACCCCAGAAATTTTACAGTGCTAGTCTTTCTGAGTTCCATTCCTCATCACCAAACCGCTCCATTGTGGGCCTGGCCAAACCCATAATGGGCTTGCTTTAAAGGCCCTCTTAGTGCCCTTAGGCGGAGTTAAAAATATTTATTTACTTAAATGTAAATACGAAAATATTATCATTAAACGCTAAATTTCCCAATTTCTATTTAAAAATTGTGCTTCGTGTTATCGGCGTTTGCCCCCGAATTATTAAACAATGACATAGAAATTTAGATTATCAAATCAGTTTATTATTATTCATTTCACGCTTAAAAAGATATTAGATAGAAATCAATGTCAAAACCGCGATTAATAAATGTACGAAGGTCTTTAACGGAACTATAAATGAACGTGAATCATATTAGTCAGTACTATGGAAAAAAAAAAGGTTCTTGCTAGTCACTAAATTATGCTAATGGAAATTATAATTGATTATGAAATAATTAAGATTTCAAATTTGTATTGTGAAAAAAAGATTTATTGGCTAATGATTTAAAAGGTATTAATTTTGGAATCAGGTTGTTGGAATCAGGATATTAAATTTCATTTCATGTTTGACTTTCTACAGTTCTAATTTTTATATTTTTATGAAATTTATATTATTTTTAAAAATATCTTTGTAAAAATATTCATCCAAAACAAGTTTAATTTTCTAAATTTAAATTTTTATGATTTTTTCCCATTCCATTTACATATTTCAATTACAATTACAATATTTCAACAAGTTGTCTGTGTAATTACATCACTTTAAATTAACTATATTTTACTTAATACATTTCTTGTTTATAAGTCTGATTTAATGCTGAATAATTTTGGGTGTGTAGATTATTAGACTATTTTCTTACAATTATACAACATACATGCTGCATATTAATCAAAATTGAATGAGTGCATACACTAAAAATACTTTATAATTATAATTCTAGAACAATAAAAATGAAATTGCAATATAATTATAATCATGACTTATAACTACACTTAGAAAGTCAATTTTACTTAGATATAATAATTTAAGTAATAAATATATACTTGAAAAATTATAAACCATACACTAATTTTTTAGTCTGGATCTTTGAATAAACATATGGTTTATATACTAAATTTTATATGTATTTTTTAAGCAAGTTTTAATAATAAAATAAACCACAGAGTTATTAATAAACATCTTAAAGCTGATTATATGTGTGATATTTTGTTTTAGATATTTAAGATAAATTTTATGATTCATTGCCAACTCTTTAGAATGCAAAAAATTTTTGAAAAATTTTAAAAAGAAACAAATGTGACTGAACTCATAAAGATGAAAATAGATATGTTCAGACAACTCTTTTTGATCAAGCTACACATGTTACTTTCATTATAAAATCAGAATCTTATTCAAATTGAGAACTTTTTATGCTGAATTTCTTGGATTCTCAACTCATTCATATAAATTGAGAATTTTCTTTTTATCTTAATTACTGACAATATATTTTTTTTCCTTTTTTAGGAGTTCTGATAGAAATCCATTTCTATGAATGTAAAAACAAGTCTTTAATAGAGCATGTATACATACATACATGCCAATTGGATACCAGCTAATGCCTCTTTCAGGTATGCTATAGACAAAAAGGAAAGAAGTGAAATACATATATTATAATAAATTATAAATCTGGTTTAATATTATAAAGGATATATAATTAAATGCCTAATAATAATAATAGTAGTAGTAATAATTAATAAGCATAAGTAATTACAGACCTATGCCGACTAAACAATTTAAATAAAACAAAAACTAACTATACAAAATTTTCTTCTATTTATGAATTAAAGCAGCAAGAATAATTTATTTTTATATTCTTTCATAAACTAAATATTACCAATGTGTTGAATATTCATAATTGAATATTCATAATGTATAAGATAAATAATTTAAAGTGTTGTTACATTTATAAATACAACATTCTTATACAAGTTACTTCTAAGTGTAAATGATGTTTAAATAACAATTTGAATGCTGTAGAATTAACCATAAATTCCAATAAAATTTAAATTATAAATTAAAAACTTTTTTTTATTCTTAAAGTAAAAAATATATAAGAAAATTTAATTTTTTTAATCATTCATTGGATGCTTAGAAACAAATAAAGATTTAAACATAAGCTAAATAAGCTACAGTTTAGGGCTTCACTCTATTCACAAAAATTGTCCATTATTATTTGATAGAAGGGAAAGACCTGTTATATATTACAGGTTAAGGAAGGCTACAAGTCTAAATCTGGTCTGCTTAGAAGTTTATAGAAAAAATTAAAAATAAAAATCAAAATTAATTTTTTTTAATAAAATAAACATGTTAAATATATCAATAAAAAATTTTATACTTAAGTTCTAAACATCATCTAATTAACAGTATTTAGTTAATCACTTTTAAATTATAGTATTTATTTTA